ACGTGATATTGTGTTGAAAATTTTAAGGGGTATCGTTGTTGTGATAGTCTTTGTCTTCTGGTAAATTTTCGATGCTGAATCGTTGAGTGTTTGGAAAAAAGGTGTTTCAATTTAAGTGATAGTCTTTGTCTTCTGGTAAATTTTCGATGCTGAATCGTTGAGTGTTTGGAAAAAAGGTGTTTCAATTTAAGACATTAAAGGTTATTCTGGAGAGCGCTTCAACGCCAACATATGATGTATTTGGGAGAGGGGAGTGGCGACAGAACAACAAAATTTCCGGTCAAAAGTTTACAAAATGCTCGAAAATGCAATTTGCTGTTTCAAAACGGTTTCCGCACCTTGCGAAAGTGTGCTTCGGCTCCAAATGTTGTGTCTCTAGAAATTTTTAAAATTGTTCGCCCACAGCCTCTTAAATTTTTTAAGTATCGCATTGGGGGCCATAAGTTCGGTGATTTTTAGGAGAAAATGCGTGGAGTCAGCTATTGTGAATAAGTTAGGAACTTAAGCTTTAAATGAGATATCTCAATGATAAATGAGAACTCCAGGTTGGATTGTGGTAACCTGTGGCACTGCTCTTCCAGAATGGCAACTTTAGTTACAAAAAGCCCGCGATATCACGTGAAGCTCGCAAAAGTATATGCTAGTTTATCTATATGCTATTTTTACAGCCCCGCATATCTAGTTGCATATGACTCTTTGAGCCAAGGTAACTATTTTTCGCACTCAACCCCTCGGAACCCCATTGATCCTCATCGATTTTGTTCGGAGATTTTTATTTTTCGACACGATGCTAACTTTAAGGGTTATTCTGGAGAGCGCTTCAGCGCGAACATATGATGCAGAAGTTGTTCTGGCAAAAAATGCAGTGGGTGATATTTCCTGTAAATTTGTTAACTTCGCTGTGTCGAAAAATTCAAAAAATCTTTGGCAATCTTTTGAAATTTCGGATTAGTGTGGCGGTATAGGTTTGAGTGAACTACTGGTTATTTTCAGTTGATTAAGGTTCATGTGATAAGATGCGAAGAAAGTGCAGAAAGGTGATGAACTGGGGATAGCAAAGACGGCTGTTTTAAAATAATTTCTTTTTAAATTTTGATTTTGATATCTTCAATTTTTCGATCGATTACTTGTAAGTCTACTATACGACCGTAGATAAGCAGCTGCATTGGTCATTTAGCTTATAACAACATATTGGAATATCTGGTTAGTTTGAGAAAGAACATCATCAACTTCGCAAAGGTAGATGATATGGTTCTGATCGCTCAGAGTTTTTGTTAAGTTGATGTGGCGTATCGCATTGGGGGCCTTAAGTTCGGTGATTTTGAGAAGAAAATGCGTGAAGTCAGCTTTTGTGAATAAGTGAGGAACTTAAGCTTTAAATGAGATATCTCAATGATAAATGAGAACTCCAGGTTCGATTGTGGTAACCTGTGGCAAGGTCAGAAATGCGGATAAGTCACGGATTGCTTGTTCCATTGATTGTGAAACTTGATCCCAGCAAACTCTTGTTGTTGCCTAAGGATGTTTTGGTACTGAATAAAGAAGGTGAAAGGGTGTCCACGTGATATAGTCTTGAAAATTTTATTGAGTATCGTTGTTGTGATAGTCTTTGTCTTCTGGTAAATTTTCGATGCTGAATCGTTGAGTGTTTGGAAAAAAGGTGAGGTAATGTCAGTTTTTTTAAACGCTGAAAATCAGATAAGTAGAATAAGTGATTGGCTTTCATGTGCTCGGATAGTTTTCTCAATTTAAGAGTTTTCTCAATTTAAGACATTAAGGGTTATTCTGGAGAACGCTTCAACGCCAACATATGATGTATTTGGGAGAGGGGAGTGGCGACAGAACAACAAAATTTCCGGTCAAAAGTTTACAAAATGCTCGAAAATGCAATTTATTGTTTCAAAAGGGTTCCCGCACCTTGCGAAAGTGTGCTTCGGCTCCAAATGTTGTGTCTCTAGAAATTTTTAAAATTGTTCGCCCACAGCCTCTTAAATTTTTTAAGTATCGCATTGGGGGCCATAAGTTCGGTGATTTTTAGGAGAAAATGCGTGGAGTCAGCTATTGTGAATAAGTTAGGAACTTAAGCTTTAAATGAGATATCTCAATGATAAATGAGAACTCCAGGTTGGATTGTGGTAACCTGTGGCAAGGTCAGAAATGCGGATAAGTCAAGGATTGCTTGTTCTATTGATTGAGAAACTTGATCCTAACAAGTTCGCGTTGTTGCCTAAGGATGTTTTGGTACTGAATGAAGAAGGTGAAGGGTGTCCACGTGATTTTGTGTTGAAAATTTTAATGAGTATCGTTGTTGTGATAGTCTTTGTCTTCTGGTAAATTTTCGATGCTGAATCGTTGGGTTTTTGGAAAAAAGATGAGGTAAAGTCAGTTTTTTTAAACGCTGAAAGTCAGATAAGTAGAATAAGTGATTGGCTTTCATGTGCTCGGATAGTTTTCTCAATTTAAGATTTTTGCAGAAGAAACGTGACTATCTCTGTCGCCATATGATAATGTTGCTCTTATCTTGGTGTTACTGTTATTTTGTTAGGGATAAGTTCTTATATATTTAAGTCTTTTTCTCGGTTTGTCCAAAATGTTCTGTTTTCTGCAAGGTGAATTACAATTCTGACGTACAGCTATAAGATATATATTAGTTAGCTCCGTAATATGTTGATGTTTTTCAACCAATTGGGGCGCTTTCAGGGGCTTTTATTTTTAAAAGAATTTTTGAAGGGATTTCAACAAAACGAACCCTTAGGTTCCTGATATTAGCCAATCAGATTTATTGATACTAATACTATTCAAAACATTTCGGCTACCGTCTCATTAATTTATAGCAAGAATTTGATTGTATAAATATGCACAAAAGAATTGACTTAAGTTTTATTCAGTTGTTTCTTGAAAAAAAAATAGCGAACATGAATATACAGTCAGGCATCTGCCACTAAAAGGCCATGCCGAAATGTTCGTCCAGTTATTTCAGAACCACGATATGTACTGCTCTTCCAGAATGGCAACTTTAGTTACAAAAAGCCCGCGATAACACGTGAAGCTCGCAAAAGTATATGCTAGTTTATCTATTTGCTATTTTTACAGCCCCGCATATCTAGTTGCATATGACTCTTTGAGCCAAGGTAACTCTTTTTCGCACTCAACCCCTCGGCACCCCATTGATCCTCATCGATTTTGTTCGGAGACTTTTATTTTTCGACACAATGCTAACATTAAGGGTTATTCTGGACAGCGCTTCAGCGCCAACATATGATGTATTTGGGAGAGGGGAGTGGCGACAGAACAACAAAATTTCCGGTCAAAAGTTTACAAAATGCTCGAAAATGCAATTTGCTGTTTCAAAAGGGTTCCCGCACCTTGCGAAAGTGTGCTTCGGCTCCAAATGTTGTGTCTCTAGAAATTTTTAAAATTGTTCGCCCACAGCCTCTTAAATTTTTTAAGTATCGCCTTGGGGGCCATAAGTTCGGCGATTTTGAGGAGAAAATTGGTGGAGTCAGCTATTGTGAATAAGTTAGGAACTTAAGCCTTAAATGAGATATCTCAATGATAAATGAGAACTCCAGGTTCGATTGTGGTAACCTGTGGCAAGGTCAGAAATGCGGATAAGTCGTGGATTGCTTGTTCTATTGATTGAGAAACTTGATCCCAACAAGTTCGCGTTGTTGCCTAATGATGTTTTGGTACTGAATAAAGAAGGTGAAAGGGTGTCCACGTGATATTGTGTTGAAAATTTTAATGAGTATCGTTGTTGTGATAGTCTTTGTCTTCTGGTAAATTTTCGATGCTGAATCGTTGAGTGTTTGGAAAAAAGTTGTGGTAAAGTCAGTTTTTTTAAACGCTGAAAGTCTGATAAGTAGAATAATTGATTGGCTTTTATGTGCTCGGATAGTTTTCTCAATTTAAGATTTTTGCAGAAGAAACGTGACCATCTCTGTCGCCATTTGACAATGTTGCTCTTATCTTGGTGTTAATGTTATGTTGTTAGGGATAAGTTCTTATATATTTAAGTCTTTTTCTCGGTTCGTCCAAAATGTTTTGTTTTCTGCAAGGTGAATTACAATTCTGACCTACAGCTATAAGATATATATTTGTTAGCTCCGTAATAGGTTGATGTTTTTCAACCATTTGGGGCCCTTTCAGGGGCTTTTATTTATAAAAGAATTTATGAAGGGATTTCACCAAAACGAACCCTAGGGTCCTGCTATTAGCCAATCAGATTTATTGATACTAATACTATCCAAACCATTTCGGCTACCGTCTCATTATTTTATAGCAAGAATTTGATTGTATAAAAATGCAAAAAAGAATTGACTTAAGTTTATTCAGTTGTTTCTTGAAAAAAAAATAGCGAACATGAATATACAGTCAGGCATCTGCCACTAAATGGCCATGCCGAAATGTTCGTCCAGTTATTTCAGAACCACGATATGTACTGCTCTTCCAGAATGGCAAGTTTAGTTACAAAAAGCCCGCGATATCACGTGAAGCTCGCAAAAGTATGTGCTAGTTTATCTATATGCTATTTTTACAGCCCCGCATATCTAGTTGCATATGACTCTTTGAGCCAAGGTAACTCTTTTTCGCACTCAACCCCTCGGCACCCCATTGATCCTCGTCGATTTTGTTCGGAGACTTTTATTTTCCGACACAATTCTAACATTAAGGGTTATTCAGGAGAGCGCTTCAGCGCCAACATATGATGTATTTGGGAGAGGGGAGTGGCGACAGAACAACAAAATTTCCGGTCAAAAGTTTACAAAATGCTCGAAAATGCAATTTGCTGTTTCAAAAGGGTTCCCGCACCTTGCGAAAGTGTGCTTCGGCTCCAAATGTTGTGTCTCTAGAAATTTTTAAAATTGTTCGCCCACAGCCTCTTAAAACTTTTAAATTTGTTCGCCCGCCCAAACTGGACATCAAACTTAAGGAGAGATTAGGTGGTCAAAATCTTGAACATGAATACGCTTCCGGCAAATCATTTGCGTTCTAAATACCTCTGACAGTTTTTTGGTGACTAATTCCCTGTGTGCATTGTTGAAAAAAGCCACGTTCGGATATATTCCTGCAACGAGACACGCTTTCACCACTGCCCAGTTCTCACTGTTCACATTCAGGTCTCTGATGTCGCCTCCACCCTTGGGCTGAACAAACTGCTGCGTCCGCATTCCACACAGCAGGCTGGTCCTACAAGCGACGAAAGAGAAAAACAAAACTGAACTTCTGTTTAAAAATCTGAGAGCCGCATTAAACGAGCTCTAATTTCATCGCTAGCGTGTAATAAGTCTATGATATGGATCGTACAATAGACACAACCAATATAAGATTAACAAACAAAACCGCTAAATTAGTATTTCTAATTAAACTTTAGGTCAATTTTTACCCTATCCTTGATAAAACAGAGGTTATCCCAGATATAACAGTGATAGCAGGGTGCTATGCAAAACCTACCCTAAAAACTTTTATAAGGCGTTTTTAAAAATTTTTAAAAGATTTTTCAAAGAAGCGCGCGCCAAAAAACGCTTTTTGGGTCAAAACCTTCCAAAAGCGTCTTTTTTGTTTTTTTTCTGTGAAGATTGGCTTGTGGCGCAAAAAAATTTAGATCAAAACAGGGTCTTCATCATGATTTGGGAAAGCTCGACAATTCAATTTGGTCGAGCAAAAAACATCGATAAACTCCTAATGGTAAAACGTTTTGTTCTTAACAATTTGCTTTTTATTTAACTTCAAAAACCAGAACGAAGAAATACGATACTACCCTGAATCGTAATATCGGGGTAGTATTTCTAATTAAACTTTAGGTCAATTTTTACCCTATCCTAGATATAACAGAGGTTATCCCAGATTGTGAAACTTTTGTTCTTAACAATTTGCTTTTTATTTAACTTCAAAAACTAAAACGAAGAAATACGATACTACCCTGAATCGTAGTATCGGGTTAGTATTTCTAATTAAACTTTAGGTCAATTTAACTTCAAAAAGAACGAAGAAATACGAAACACGACCCTGTTTTGACCCAAATTTTTTTGAGCCACCAGCCAATTTGCGCAAAAAAATTTGGGTCAAAACAGGGTCTTCATCGTGATTTGGGGAAGCTCGGTAATTCAATTTGGTCGAGCAAAAAACATCGATAAAACTCCTAATGGTAAAACGTTTTGTTCTTAACAATTTGCTGTTCATTTAACTTCAAAAACCAGAACCACATGAGAACAATCCTGTTGTTCTAGAGACCCCAGACCAGATTTTAGGCGGGGGCGGGGAAACAAAGTAATCGAGTCAACTCCAATGCCAAACGTGGGGAACAGAAACGAGCGAACGGGATTTTACGATTTTCTCTGATAGGAGACGATGCCAGTGGTCAAATTCCGGAGACGATAAAAGATGAGTCGGAAACCGAAAATACATCTTTCACACAGAAGATGAGAGAAGGGTTAAAAACCATGGTGGTGTAACATTCGGCCGGAAGTACATATCGACGGAAAATAAAGCGAGGTTCTAAAACGACTGGCTAGCGTCTAAACACAGCTCTACATGCTTTTCACCGTTTCTGCCAAAGCCAGTTCTTTTGGTGGTCTTTCTAACATCGGGTCGACAAAACGTTACTGTTTCCGGCTTCGATCAGAACGCTCTAATTATTTTAATTACATGCTGAAATAGTGAGCTCATGGCTGGGTCTCAGTATCCCCAGACCACGAGGTCACTCCTAAAAAAAGGGCTACTACTTATATATTATATTACTATTGTTATTGTTCAGTAGATAAAAATCATCATCTCCATCGAAGATGGATCAATCGTTTCCCTTAACTCCTAGCTTCTCATAATCTGAAAACGAATTTAGATGTTATTAATTCAATTCAGGAACGAAGAAATACGATACTACCCTGAATCGTAGTATCGGGGTAGTATTTCTAATTAAAATTTAGGTCAATTTTTACCCTATCCTAGATATAACAGAGGTTATCCCAGATTGTGAAACTTTTGTTCTTAACAATTTGCTTTTTATTTAACTTCAAAATCTAAAACGAAGAAATACGATACTACCCTGAATCGTAGAATCGGGTTAGTCTTTCTAATTAAATTTTAGGTCAATTTAACTTCAAAAAGAACGAAGAAATACGAAACACGACCCTATTTTGAAACAAATTTTTTTTTTGCGTCACCAGCCAATTTGCGCAAAAAAATTTGGGTCAAAACAGGGTCGTCATCATGATTTGGGAAAGCTCGATAATTCAATTTGGTCGAGCAAAAAACATCGATAAAACTCCTAATGGTAAAACGTTTTGTTCTTAACAATTTGCTGTTTATTTAACTTCAAAACCAGAACGAAGAAATAAGAAACAAACAAAGTACCGGAACGAGAGAAGCATGAGAAAGCTCAAGAGAAAGAGTAGACAGAACCACATGAGAACAATCCTGTTGTTCTAGAGACCCCAGACCAGATTTTAAGCGGGGGAGGGGAAACAAAGTAATCGAGTCAACTCCAATGCCAAACGTGGGGAACAGAAACGAGCGACCGGGATTTTACGATTTTCTCTGATAGGAGACGATGACAGGGGTCAAATTCCGGAGAAGATAAAAGATGAGTCGGAAACCGAAAATACATATTTCACACAGAAGATGAGAGAAGGGTTGAAAACCATGGTGTTGTAACATTCGGCCGGAAGTACATATCGACGGAAAATAAAGCTAGATTCTAAAACGACTGACTAGCGTCTAAACACAGCTCTACATGCTTTTCACCGTTTCTGCCAAAGCCAGTTCGTTTGGTGGTCTTTCTTACATCGGGTCGACAAAACGTTACTGTTTCCGGCTTCGATCAGAACGCTCTAATTAATTTAATTACTTGCAGAAATAGTGAGCTCATGGCTGGGTCGCAGTATCCCCAGACCACGAGGTCACTCCTAAAAATAGGGCTACTACTTATTTATTATATTTCTAATGTTTTTATTCAGTAGATAAAAATGATCATCTCCATCGAAGATCGATCAATCCTTTCCCTTAACTCCTAGCTTCTCATAATCTGAAAACGAATTTAGATGTTATTAATTCAATTCATGACATCACCAGAAGCTAAAAGTTCAAAAAACAGAGAGTTACAGTTTTCTGCCGAGACCCCTCCGGATTCTGGAATCCGGGCAAATAACGCTTTTGTTTATTCTCGAAGGCTGGACACGTCGTCCGAATACTTCCTGATTCTCGGGATTCGTGTTGTAAAGATTGTAGCGGCACAATCGTTGCAACTCGGAATGGTCTGATCTTCGTTTGCTATTCCAATTTCGATCTGTCTCTCACAACTGTTGTTCACTGTTTTTCTCCACGAATTCAGTTGCTCTTCTTTTCTTTTCGCAGTTTTCAGTTGGCGCGAAATTTCGACGTTACCACGTGTCTTTCTTTTCGAACGAATTTCTAAAAATTAATATGTCAGTCCAAATTAACCCTTCCGCGTTCGTCAAAATGAACGATTAAGACCACTAATTCGTTAACACCGTTTATCTTCCCACTCCGATGTCACAATAAAAACTCGAATTCGAACTTGCATTTTGATACATTCTGGTCGAATGTCACATACTCCCCGGACAGCCCGGTCAACGTCCTCGTTGAGTCTTGTAGTCTTCATCAAAATAGTACAGTGCCATCGAACCGAATTTACAAAATGCATGTAACCACCTTTATCCACGTCACATCGACTCACTGCAAAATACAAATGGCATCATACTACACTATTATAGCCTTCCAAATTCTTTCACTATTCTGCACTTTCGAGGATATGACTGAAAATAAAACATTTTTTCTGACTTCTAATGTCTATGTCCCGATTTAAAACTTTTTCTCCTAGGTTAAAAAGTGTTGGGACGCAGGACGGTCCAGCCAATCAACAAAATAAAATTATCCTACTATGCTTCTTCCCTTCGGAAATTTAGTTGTTATTGGTCCTGAATTTTAAAATTAAGGAACTCGGTGGTTAGAAGGAACAATGAAATAATCTCCGTCTTCAAGAGATTACCCAAGCCTTTCAGATCACCACAAAAGGATCAGTCATCTCAGTTGATTAAAAACAGTCATGCAGGCTGGAATATTTAATATACTCTCCACTCAAGCCTTTCTAAAAAAATAGTACGTGTCTCTAAAGCCACTAACTAAAATCACAACGCGAATTTATAAATGCAACAATTCTTTAATCTTCAAAATGCAACTAAATGTTTTCTCTTCAGTTTCAATTGCAAACTTAGTTGCTTTGTTTCTCATTTGAGTTTTTGACACACAAAACATCTTCTCCGTCGTTGCTTCGTTGTATACTTCCTTCTTCACTCTTTGTTTCCGTCGTTTAGAAGTTCTAAAACTTCTAAATTCTTCTAATTTTTCTTCTTTTTGCATCTTGTTTTTCGGTAGAGGATCAACGTTAGTTTCCCGGTTTCGGCAGACGCTGTTGTGGAGGCAAAAAGTCACGTTTCTCTCCAAGTCTTCCTTCAACATTTCTTCTCTTTCTCTCCCGTCATATTCACTTATTCTAGACGTCCTCTTTACTGCGGTGGTCACTGCATTCTGATGAGTTACAAAGGCTCGCTTGAAAGCTCCTGCTCCAATGTCCAGCTGATACGCACTGTACACTCTTCTGTGCTTCGACATATGCTTCTTGGCATATTCGTACAACGATGCAGTCACGTTGGCTCTAAAGCATGGCATCAGTCGTCTTCTGGCCCATATCTTTTTCACTTCCATCGGAATGTTCAGGATTTTGCACGTTGTCTCAAAAAGATCTAAAACTTTTAGAACATTCAATTCCTGCATTTGCTCTTTCGTAGGCGTTTCTTGTTGATTGTTCTCTTTCACATGAGCTTCCAGCCATCGTATCGCCATCATAACTCCCACTATCGCTATCGTTATGGGCTGTGATGAATCTAGTAAACCCATGCAGAGCAGCTCTCCACAGTCCCAGATCAACAACAGATTACTACGCCCGGGATACCACCATGTTTGTAGCCAGCAATGGCAGGGGAACTCATCATGTGTCAACATGATGCTCCTCTAATTACGCTTTCCCAACGCTTCCAGTAGTGGTTCCACTTCCATCATCACTTGGTGGATTTCATCATTCTCGTCTACCGCATTGTAATCTGTGGCTGTTAATCCTTTCTACTTCTGTCTTTCAAAATCACTGAAGTTCCCACTGGCGTATCCCATGAACT